AAGGAGGTCTCACAAACTGTTGAAGATGAAAATGTTTTTAATTGTTTTCTATATTTTTCTTTCTATTCTCTTTTTTGGACTTTCTTTTTTCCTTGAACATGTTTCCCTTCTCATTCAAGAAGCTTCTTCAGTTCTGATTGAACAATGGAGGATGGAAGGATTGATATTCCTTGCAGTCATCTGGACATAAGCCCTCTTTCCAACTGGATGACTGCAAGGAGTATAAATCTTGCAACAATATGGCTCTTCCCCTGTATGGATCCTATTATGTAAGCTTAAATTGCTGCTTCTGCTGTAACTTTTTCCATACTCAAAGCATTCATGGGGTTTCTCCCAGTGTGGATTCTGCTATGTACATTACAGCTTTTTTTTTTTTTTTGCACTGAAGCTCTTTCCACACATGCGGCACTCATATGGTTTCTCCCCAGTATGGAGCCTTTTGTGGCAAGTGAGGCCCCAAGAATTGGTGAAACATTTGTCACACATGGTGCACTTATAGGGCCTTTCATCTTTGTGGATTATTTTATGGGTATTAAGATGACTTTTTTGACTGAAGCACTTCCCACACTTGGTGCATTGATTTGGTTTCCCTCCTCTGTGCATACTTGATGGGAAGTTAAGATGTTGGATGTACAGAAGCTCTTTCCACACTCCAGGCATTTCTACGGTTTCTCCCCTGTGTGGGTCCGTTTGTGGGCACGAAACCTATCAGAACGGGAAAAGCGCTTTCCACATTGCAGGCACTGAAAGGGTTTCTCCCCCGTGTGGATTCTGCTATGTACGATATAGCTATTTTTTGCATTGAAGCTCTTCCCACACTCCATGCATTGAAAGGGTTTTTCTCCCGTGTGGATCCGCTCGTGTGACTTAAGATGAACTTTTTGACTGAAGCTCTTTCTGCACTCCAGGCATTGAAAGGGTTTCTCCCCTGTGTGGGTCTGTTTGTGGGCACGAAGGCCACCAGAGCTGGCAAAGCGCTTTCCACACTGTAGGCATTGAAAGGGCTTCTCCCCTGTGTGTATTCTGTGATGGTCAGTAAGGGATGCAGAGCGACGGAAGCTCTTTCCACACTCCATGCATTGAAATGGTTTTTCTCCCGTGTGGATCCTCTCGTGTAGCTTAAGTTGACCTTTTTTACTGAAGCTCTTTCCACACTCCAGGCATTTGTATGGTTTCTCCCCAGTGTGGATTCTGCTATGTACGATATAGCTACTTTTTGCACTGAACCTCTTTCCACACTCCATGCATTGAAATGGTTTTTCTCCCGTGTGGACCCTCTCGTGTGACTTAAGATGACCTTTTTGACTGAAGCTCTTTCTGCACTCCAGGCATTGAAAGGGTTTCTCCCCTGTGTGGGTCTGTTTGTGGGCATGAAAGCCACCAGAACTGGCAAAGCCCTTTCCACACTGTAGGCATTGAAAGGGCTTCTCCCCTGTGTGGATTCTGTGATGCGCAGTCAGGTTTGAAGAGCTATAGAAGCTCTTTCCACACTCCATGCATTGAAATGGTTTTTCTCCCGTGTGGATCCTCTCATGTGACTTAAGAGGACCTTTATCACTGAAGCTCTTTTCACAGTGCAGGCATTTATAAGGTTTTTCCCCTTTATGCATCCTATTATGTATGGTTAGAGAAGAGGTGTTGCTAAAGGTTTTTCCACACTCCAAGCATTCATAGGGTTTCTCCCCAGTGTGGGTTCTGCTATGTATGATACAGCTTTGTTTTACACTGAATCTCTTTCCACACATGTGGCATTCATATGGTTTCTCCCCAGAATGGAGCCTTTTGTGGCAAGTGAGGCCCCATGAATTGGTGAAGCATTTGTCACACTCGGTGCACTTATAGGGCTTTTCACCT